CTTTAATGCTTGTGAGATTGTTAGACATGTTCGACCTTTGTTTTGTCGTTGGGGAGATAGTTTGTTTTCGGTCGGTCCGGGTGGCCCTTCGGTCGACTGGCGGTTATTCAGTCATTCGATTTTATGAGTATTTAACTTTTGATATGACCCATTAGATTATCGTGAGATTCATGCAAGTCATTAGTTCAAAATGACATTGACAAATTTTTCAAGGAAAAAATTTTATTTAAATTTTAAAACATAAAATTATTTAAATTTAAATTTGTATTTACTGAATTATTGTACCTTTTTTTATGCATCAAGTTATCATTCAAATTTAAAATAGCTTATAAAACTTCTATTCATAATTTTTTTCTCATCAAAGTTTAATGATTTGATCATATTATATCTGCATTTGCGATCATTTTCAGTTAGACGTATAATTATATATATTTTGGATGGCGTGTGCGTGTACTTTTGGATTTGTTTACGAGTGCCATGCGGACATCGTGTAGCAAGGTATTCACTAGTTTCGCTATGGCGTCACGCATGCACCACAAAAAACGGCTTATTTACGCTATTAATTTTTGAGAGACCCATGCAGCCATGCAGCTCTTTAATATCGGAATCAAATGAATCAATTCTGCAATATATCTATACATACATGCATGCATGCATCCATACACACACACACACATATGTATATATATATATATATATAACATATACATATATATATTTGTGATAACTAAGCATTTATTTTTTATATATTTTTTTTGAGGATGATGGGTCATGCTAAGCTTTATTGAATAGAAAAAATAAATACAAAGTGAAAATATCATCAGAACACAGAAAAATACAACTCAACACAATAAGAAAAGACTCCAATAAATAAAGGAGAAACATCAAAAAGGCTGAAAATTACACCAAACAAGCCTAGGAATTGAACTTGAAGCATGATGATCCAACCAAGTATAGGTGGATAGATAGATAGATAGATAGATAGATAGATAGATAGATAGATAGATAGATAGATAGATAGATAGATAGATAGATAGATAGATAGATAGATAGATATTGTGAAATTTTATATAATTTATGCTTTAATTTAAATGTTGAATTGATTTGATAATATCAGAAAGAAACAAAAAATGCAATAAAATTAAAAAAATGGATCTAAATGAATTTAATCAATTATAAGGATTTCATATGAAACAATAAATAATAAAATTCAATTTCACTCATCCTAATTTAAGAAAATAATTAATGTGTTGACAAAAGAAGGGATTAAAACGAAGAAAAAAATATTAATCAATTTTTTCATATATATATACATAGAGAGAGAGACACACACACACATACACACATATAAATTTCATATAGATACGTTATATATGATTTTCATATAGGCACATTATTATTAGTTGAAAATTTAGTGATTAGTGCATGTTGGATAAGTATAAGCTTTTAATGCCGGTTGCAAGTCACGGAAGGATGCGTAGGTCATTCTATGCCACAATTTCATTGCTCTTTTTACATAAGTTTCGTCTCCTTAAAGCATAGCAAAGTAGTCATATGCCTACATCTACTTTCAATAAATGATTTACTTATTTATAAGGATGTAGTTAGCCATCTTAGTGTACTTCTTGGTGTTGTTGTTGGATCTATAGATACACAAGATGATGTGGTATATATATAAATCAAGCAGGAGAATGATCGACGAAGCGAAAAATAGAACGAGAAAAATTCACACTAAAAACATTAACATAGCGGAAAACACAGATTTAGATTTATGTGGTTCGAGTGGTTCGACAAATTGCCTACGTCCATAGAGTTGCAGAGGATTTTACCACTTGAGAAATTTACACCAGTCGATTACCTCGACTTACAAGAGGAATCTCTCACTCTCATTTCATTGCTCTCTTTTCTTCTCTCTCTACATCAAGATACACCGAATAAACTTTACACTGAGAAACACCGAATAAGACAAACTCACAAGAGAAATAAACCCAATTTCTCTTCTGTTCCAAGCCACCAAGAAGAAGCCAATGGAGAACAATCTTCTTCTTCTTTCTTCTTTCTTTACTACAAGGAACTACTTCTTGCACCTTCCTTCCTTTGTCCCGAGGAAACCTTCCTCTATCACGAGGAAAACCGAAGAAGAATACCGTAACTTCACTTAAATTGAAAGGAGAGCCGTGTGATACCTTTCATAGCCTACGTTTCGCAAAAAGGAGGCGGGAGCGGCGGTTTTCGTGAAACTGTAGAGTTGCGATCGCGACCTTTCGCGATCGGGCGAGGGAACTGGAAGCGGGAGCGGGATCGGGAAAAATCAGGCTCGAGCGCTAACACTTGGAAGTTTAGAAATAATAACGTGGTCATGGGATCAACATTTTGCATAAAGAAACAATTTTTTTAAATAAATTGAGCAAATTTAATCTTAAATAGAGACACACCACATATACATGGTATTATGTATATGTGTGCTCAGATGCATGATAGATTGATTGTAAATAAATTAAAGAATTCGAAGCTGTCGCATTTGAGTGCACATCATTCCTAGGGGCAAAAAAAACATTTTGCTTCAATGTGGATGCCAGGTTGTGATTACATTTTATCATCCTCAAAAGAAAAGAAAGTAAATTAACTTTTAATTAATTTATTAAATCTGCCAAATATATATATATATA